CCAGGCCGGCAGGCAGGCAGGCAGACAGGCAGGTCGTCAGGCAGGCAGGCAGGTGCTCACCAGGCGAGCAGGGCCGGCGCTCGACGGGCGGCGGCCGAGTAGGCGCACGACAGCGGCGGCGTCGGGGCCGCAAAACCGGCTGCAGAGCAGGGCCGAAGCAGCTGCAGGGCGGGGCCGTCTCAGCGGCAGTAGCAGGGTGGGGCCGCGTCAGCGGCAGGTCGGGGCCGTGGCAGCTGCAGAGCAAGGCCGCATCAGCGGCAGGTCGGGGCCGTGGTAGCTGCAGGGCGGGGCCGCATCAGCGGCAGGTCGTGGCCGAGGCAGAGGGCCGCGCGCGGCTCGGCGCGGGCTGCGCTGACAGCGCGTGGAGCTGCTGCAGGCCGCGCGGGCTGTTGCGGGCCGCGCGCGGGCCGCGCGAGGCAGTAGCAGGCCGCGCGCGGCTCGGCGCGGGCTGCTGCGGGCCGCGCGCGGGCCTCGCGAGGCCGTAGCAGGCCGCGCGCGGCTCGACGCGGGCTGCGCGCGGCAGCTGCGGGCTGCGCGCGGCTGCAGCGGGCTGTGCGCGGCTCGGTGCGGGCTGCGCGCGGCTGCAGCGGGCTGCGCGCGGCTCGGCGCGGGCTGCGCGGGCTCTGTGCGGGCTGCGCGCGGCTGCAGCAGGCTGCGCGGGCCTTACGGGCCTCTAGGGGCGGCGCGTGGGCCTTACGGGCCTCTAGGGGCAGTGCGCTGGCCTAGGGCAGTAGGAGGCAGCGCTAGGGCTGCTGGACGGCGCACATAGTGCAGCACGTCACAAGGCAAGGCAAGGCAGGCAGGTACGTGGGGTAGCGCGGTAACCGCAGCGGTAGGTGGGCCCGAAAAAAAAACGGTCCTACGGACCTTAGTGCTCTGAAACCATGTCAGAATCTAGCAGCAGGAATGAATGAACTAGCAGCATGCAGGAGTACAAGTAGTAAACCCTAATTGGGCTGTACCCCATATGGGCTACCCCACTACAGCCTAGACAATATCCAGCATATATGTTTGACACGCAGCACCTATGGAATTGGCCAGACGCTCTGCTATTCGGTTCTGATGGGGAATTTCCGACCAATGGTGAGGCAGATTGTCTTCAGATGGTCGTGTTTCGATTGGACGGGTGAAATTCATGCAATCGGCGTGGCCAGCAGAAGAGGATCTGACGATTGTGAGGAGATTGGGGAAGCGATTTCTCAGGTGGAGGAGAGTTGCGTTGAGCTGGGCTTCAAAAGCTGCATCCTCCACATAATGGGCTCCGCGATTCAGTACAACCACGTCTACACCCTGTGCTGCTATCTCATCCACCCACCAATGATTTTCCGTGGAGAAACCAGGCAACGCCACGGGGACATCGAGGTAATCGCTACGAACGAAGAAGATGTGAGACGGACGACCCGAAGACTCGCAGATTGGAGAGGAAAAGCAAATCTGAGGAAGGTGAGGGTAAGCTGCTCTGGCTTGAATGCATTTCGCAGAGAAGAAGCCTTCAGGAACCACCTTTTCGCCGATTCTCATGCGGAGAATGAGGGAGAGAGCGAACTGGCCGTTGAGAGAATCCCCAGCTATCAGCAACTTTCTTCCGTTGAGCGCTTCGCAGAATTTGGATTCGCTGAATTGAGTCCACAGGCCGCAATCGTCACCTTGCGTCGAAGCTTCGCTGCTTGGATCCCACACGTACTTCAAGCTTTCCCTGACGGTCCAATCGTCGGGATCTCTGAGGGCGGCGTTATTGGCATGAGGGCCAGCGAGGTTTCCTGGGATCTCCGCGTGTCGAATGTCGCATGCGCTCAGGGGACTCGGCCAGTGGAGGAGACGAGGAGTTGGGTCGTAGCGCCAGTGACCTGATTGGCTGACGCAGTTCCAGCGATTACGGAACGAACGCACGGACGAGTCGTTCTTGATTCTTGACCCTGGAATCCCCGTGACGACAACATCCGAAATATCTTCTTTACGCCGAATAACTCGAACAGGTTGATGCCATGATGTTAGCTTGTCGAAACTGTCATTTTGTTGAAGGTAATTCACCAGATGATGCGGTTCCACTGCAATGTCCGTGGAAGCAGTTTCTGTAACTCCCCGTAGAGTCTCCAGTCTAGGGCAGTGAAGCCTGCACGCGATGTAGAAAGTCAGCAAGGACACCCCAGTAAGACAGGAGAAGATGGAAATGCCAATACAGTGAGGGCTGCTTCTAAGCTGCATGACGCTTGAAGGGCATGGGGTAGATGAGTCCTTCCTTGCTAACAGCGACTCCTGTGTTTCCGCCATTGTTTTGCAGAACTGACTGTCTGGCGTGCTACTTGTGGCATAAGAACTCCTGACCACGCAAAGAAAGAAAATAGAGGATGCTTCCGGTTCTAGCGAGCGAGGAGGATCGTCTCAAATAAGTCGCCGCTAGCCAATTCTCCCCAATCACTTCCAGCATTCGCGCGCTGTGACAGCTCAACTTGTGTGACGGAGTCGGAGGTTGCGCTGTCTGTCATACAGAAGGGGTTTCGTATTGACCGGGAAAACAAACTTGGCCTGTTTATGTAACTCGTGAGCCAGGATCCTATCTGCTGGGATGGGTCCTGTTCAGTCAGAGGCTTGACCATTTCCAGTTCCGTGCTCGGAAATACGAAATTACTCCTAGGCCGTGTTTGGCAGGCATCATGGCCATTATGGCCATGTTGAACATTTTTAACGGGCCCCCAAAAAATGCCGCCTGGGCATTTCCAGAAACAGCCTCGAAAGCTGCAGTGCACCTTCCAAAAAACGGGATGAGTGTTTGGTTGGCATTAATTGGGTGTAGATTGATGGCATCAATCGAAATTTAGGGTTTCGTAGAAGATGGTAGGCAGTTGCGCGTGATTATGTGATTGGCTGGCAGTCACTTTTGATTGCCCCGAATCACTGATACCCCGCATGGTGCGGGGCCTCGAGGCCGCATGGTGCGGGGTGTCCGAAAATGGGCTCTTTGCTAGGGAAAATGGGGTCCAGGGCTGTCGATTCAAGGGCATATGGCCTTAATGCCCTGAACATTAAGGTCTGACTTTGCCCCAAAGTCCAGATTCTCAGGGTTGATTTTTTGTACAGCCCGGAATGATAACGGGCGTGGGCTGGGCCTTCCCCTGATTCTTACAGGGGCCTCTTGGAGGGTTTCCCTGATTCCCCACGGAAGTTTCCGGTCTTACCCGGAAAAATTCACAGCCCTTCCGACTCCCCCCCCCCCCCCCCCCCCCCCCCCCCCCCTCCCCTCCCTTCCCGTTTTTCCCTTTCCATCCCATCCCATCCCATCCCATCCTATCCCATCCTACCGTGAAAATGCTAGATTACGACGTGGACTGGGCAGGTGTGTAACAGATCTTCGACGGGGAGAAGCGCCGCAAGCCTGCCACTTAGTTATTAGTGTTGAGAAAGTAGATAGGTAATAGCAGTTCTAAATTTACTCTGCCTTTATTAGTTTTCGTTATACACCTAGCCCTCGCCAATTTCACGCCCTGCAACTTGTTTCGGAAAGCACCCTGAACCCGATGTTGGCTTGACCGATGAACTCCCCGAATTTGAAGGCTATCAACAACCCAGACAAGTGTCGAGGTATTAATAAAACTCCCGCGCTTATGAAGGAGCGACTCGACCATAGTTTTATTGCGACCCGTTTTTTGTCCCCTCTAATTCGTCCGAGACGTCTGAAACGGACCCTCTTTAAAATGAAAGCATTCGGAACAACAGTTTAATATCGGGTAATTCAGACGTGATTACACAGGGGGTGAAATTGGCCATAGTGAAGTTGGCCCAGGCTAGGTGTATGGAGTTTGCCCTGATTGTTGTAGTGTAGCCCTGAATTTAAGTTTTTGGTCAGGTGCTTTCCCGGACGCTTAAAGGCTCGGAAAAGGACACTTCCCGGAGATTTCAGGGCTGAAATACGGGCACCTCAGACTCTCAAGTGTTGGCCTGGAACCAATCGACAGCCCTGATGGGGTCGTTGAAGAAACGGTGGGTTCGAAATGCCATCGGATAACGGGGTGTTTGGTTGGCATTCCATTATTGTCAGGTTCGGCGTAGTCCGCTTATATCGAACCTTGATAATCTTTCACGCGCTTATCAGGGAAGGCTCCAGGGTGGTCGGTTCACTGTAGCCCATCCCCCTCGCCCGGTTTTTTTATGCCTGCCAAACTGGGCTCTAGTGTTTAGGTTCACAGCATAAATGAACATTCCTGACATGAGTCCAATCTTCAAACCCTACTGTCTAAACGCCATTGTTAGAAACAGGATTCGGGTGCGACCTGTTGGGCAACTATTCCCCCAATCCTGGTTTTGCATCTGGAACGCAGCCGGCAGCTAACGTTGCGACAAGCTTAGGCTAACGTTGCGGCAGCTAATTTCAATACAGTACAAATTTCACACCCGCGGACATGTTTTTTCTGGTACCTGAAGCTTTATTGTTTAAATTTCAGGAGGGAATCTTTCAGGAAAGAGAGGACACAAAGAAGGTTGCACAAAATTTTAGTGGAAAGAGAGGACACAAAGAAGGTTGCACAAAATTTTAGTGGATGCAACGCGGTCGCACGGAGTAGAGTATGAGGGGTTTCGTAGTGTAAACCCTTAGGGGTCTCTCTTGAAAAAGTTTGATGACAGTGAATTTGGTGGGTAACAAGCAATACTTAGAACGGCGGTTTACATTACGAGCCCAAATGTTTGTGCAGCAGATAAGGTTGGGACGCAAGCTAATTCCAGAATATGTAACAAACAGGATAACTGTAGTCGGAGTTAATGCGCACCCATGGCTTATCCGTGGCTCACTCACACTCAATAACGTGGAAATTGAAGGAGTATACTCCCTTTCCGCAGGAAGTCCAGTAGCGACAGTTCTGTGGTTGGATGCCCCACTGCGATGGCAATGCTGATTGCTTTCTTTGCTACCAAGAACTCCGGTCCATTTTAGTTCAATCTGGTTGAAATTGATTCAATCGCGCCGACTCACGAACCCGTTCCTTTTTTCCTTCTTGAGAGCGCGTATGGAGAGCGATTTGCAGCTCGAAACAGCGGTTCTAGGGAAGTTGTTACGTCAAAATCGAAGCCAGCACCGACACGGGAAATATTTCCATGCGCTCCGCCAGGTAACCTAGAAGCGTTGATAGTCCGAATCTAGCAAATCCATTTATAGATTCCCCCCGCGTCTTCAATATATCCTCACCTGTCTACCAAAATCTCTCCCTTTCAGCTTCACCGCCGATTGAGAGACTTCTTCTCGTCAAACGTCCTCCATCTGCTACAAGATATTAAAGCCGCCTCGCCTCCAGCGCTGCTGGCGGTCGCGCAAAGCCCGGAGCTCGACAGCCAGTCCAGGCGGGTCGTCTTCTCTCTACAGTACATTCAAGAGGTAAGCTGGTTCTGGAAGATTCTCCAACACGACGTTACTATAGGCGACGTGTAAAGAGTGAGGTTTTGAAAGATTCTCCAAAACCTCACTCTTTACACGCAGCTGGTTCTGGAAGATTCTCCAACACGACGTTGCTATAGGCGACTTGTAAAGAGTGAGGTTTTGAAAGATTCTCCAAAACCTCACTCTTTACACGCAGCTGGTTCTGGAAGATTCTCCAACACGACGTTCCTATAGGCGACGTGTAAAGAGTGAGGTTTTGAAAGATTCTCCAAAACCTCACTCTTTACACGCAGCTGGTTCTGGAAGATTCTCCAACACGACGTTGCTATAGGCGACGTGTAAAGAGTGAGGTTTTGAAAGATTCTCCAAAACCTCACTCTTTACACGCAGCTGGTTCTGGAAGATTCTCCAACACGACGTTGCTATAGGCGGCCCGTCTTTCCTCTCCGGTCTGTTTGAGAAGTACGTTGCGTCGAGAAGGTTTTCTAACACGAACTGACCTCCAGGGGGGTCGGCTTCTCTCTACATTACGTTAAAGCACTAAGTTGCATTTCTGTGCTCATGGTTATCTACGTTCCTCTGTCGTGTGGGCCCCCAACATACACGCACGCACACGCACGCACACGCACGCACGCACGCACGCACGCACACGCAGACACACGCACGCGCGCGCGCGCGCACACACACACACACACCCACCGTTTTACCGTCATTCTCCCACATATTGATCTCTGTCCCCCCTCTCCCACTCAAACACCCCCCCTCTTCTCCTTCCTTCCTCCCCCTTCTTCCCCCATTTCCCCTGTGCAACGTCCCTTGTCCATCCCTCCCAGACTACAAGCCTCTTGATTCGAGCCGCACGGTAAGTTCTGATTCCAGCAGCACATTTAACAATCAACCTCCTCACTTGGAAACCCTAACCCTAAATCTGAATTTCTTTTTGCACTATCCTTCAAGCACCAACCCTTTCTGAGTCATTTGTCCCTCCCCGTTTGCCAGCCTTATAGCGGGTCTGGTTATATTGGAGCGCTTTCTCCCTCTCTGTGTCACGAGCTTCGCTTGTTTAGGGCGGCTCTACATCCTCTTGCTTCAGGTGGGCAACTTTTGCATTAACCCTGCTTTTAAAGGCACAAAGTGGTGCTTCGTCTCCATGCTGATGCGAAGGACCTTCTTGATTGATACGTATTTGTTCATCTGCAGCATTGTGTTTCTGGTTGTGCGTGCCTGCGTGCTTGTGTGCCTGTGTGCTTGTGTGCCTGCGTGCTTGTGTGCCTGTGTGCTGGTGTGTCTTGTATGCTTGTTGTTTGTTCTTACCTTGCAGTGTCAGCTACACCACGTGTCGGCCTACAACCGCTTGACAGCGACGGCAGCAAGAGGCAAGGTAAACCTCAGATTGCTCCTCTTGCACTGCGCGTTGCTCCGCCTGACTACCCTACTCAATAGGGTGTACCCTACTCAATAGGGTGTACCCTACTCAATAGGGTGTACCCTACTCAATAGGGTGTACCCTACTCAATAGGGTGTACCCTACTCAATAGGGTGTACCCCACTCAATAGGGTGTACCCCACTCAATAGGGTGTACCCCACTCAATAGGGTGTACCCTACTCAATAGGGTATACCCTACTCAATAGGGTATACCCTACTCAATAGGGTGTACCCTACTCAATAGGGTGTACCCTACTCAATAGGGTGTCTTCATGTATCTTTCACTCACTGGTACTATCAGTGGCTGCATCACGTTTATCATCCACCTCTGTTGACCTCAGATTTTCTTCACTAAAGTAATGCTACTTTTCATCCTACCATTGCGTTGCTGCAAAGCTCTACTTGTCTTTCCCGTGCCCCACTCTCCCTCCCCACCCTCCCTCTTTGCTAAGGTCCTCTCCCCCCCGAATCTCCCTCTACGTCTGGCAAGCTGTCTTTTATTCCTACCCTATTACATCTCTCCTCATCTCCTTCGCCCCAGCACAACCAACGGCACAAACTAATGCTTTGCCTTTTCCCCCTTCCCCCTTCCCACCCGCCTTCACCCCCCTTTACTCAGGTCCTCCTTCCCCCGTCTCTCCCTCCCCGCCTGTACCACGTATGGCAAGCTTCGACCCTCCTTATCTCCTCTCGCCCCTTCCCCTCACCGGACACCACAACCAGCGGCACCAGCAGTACCAGCAGCAGCAGCAGCAGCAGCAGCAGCAGCAAAAAGAACAAGAAGGTGAAGATTGAGGCGCTTGAAAGAACTGCAGATGCTCTTATTCCTACACAGGAGAATGTGGCTGCAGTTTCAGCCACACTTGCTCCTGTAGCAGCTGTAGCAGTCTCACCCGCTGCACCTGTAACCGCAACACCCGTTGCAGGAAAACCCGTTGAGACACAGGAAGCAGCGGGAAGGCAAAAGAGACTGAAGGGCCAAATAGGAGACAGGCAAGGGAGAGAGGGGGGAGGGAGAGAGGGGGGAGGGAGAGAGGGGGGAGGGAGAGAGGAGCAAGGGAGTGCTGGTCAGGGAGAGGACGGTAAAGGTAGAGATGGTGGAGAAAGAGGCAGGGGTCCGTTTGGGGCTGATGGCCCGTCCATGGCAGCATTGATGCAGGAGCTGGGATTTGGAGAATTCATTTCTGCCCCGGTCAGCAGTGTTGGGGGAAAGGAAGGGCAGACGGGCAGGAAAGGAGGGAGGGGTAGGGGACGGGGGAGAGGGAGGGACAGGGAGGTGGGAATGGGGACGGGGATGGTGATTGGGGATAGGAGGGTGGAAGGGGGAGAGGGGGAAATTGGCGACAGAGGGGGTGTTTGGCAGTGGGGAGGCATGGGGAGGGGAGGGGATGGCTGGTTGGGACGATTGGGATGAGGGTTTTGGGGGAGACGATGGGTATGGGGGGCGAGAGGAGGGGATGGGGCGTGGGGAGGATGACAGGAGGGAAGGTGGGGAGGATGGGGAGATGGATAGTGAGGAGGGTAGAGAAGAGAGCGAGGAGGGTGAGGGGGAGAAGGGTGAGATTGAGGAGGGGAAGGAGTAGATGGAAGAGGGGGAGGGGGAGATGGAGGTGGATGGTGAAGAGTGGGGAGCTGGTAGGGAAGAGGGAGTAGAAGGGGAAGATCTTGAGGAGAGTGAAGAGGGAGAAGAAGGGGAGGAAGTGGAGGAGGGGGAAGGGAGAAGAAGGGGAGGAAGTGGAGGAGGGGGAAGAGGGAGAAGAGAGGGAAGGAGATAAAGGGGAGGAGCAGGAAGAGGATCTGAAGGAGAGGAAGGCCGGGGAAGAGTTAGGGTCGTTAAGCATTGGGACTAGAGAGAAAAAAGAGACAAATCTGGCAGGCATTGGTGCTGCGGAAAGGATGGTGGGGGTTGACGATCAGGCTGTGAAGAGGCCTGGTGTTTGGCTGAGGGGAGCTCCAAGCAACAAGGAACGGTTGATGCATGGGAGGGTGGTGATGAAATCCCGGCTTCAAGTTGCAGCTGTTGGGACGTTCCGGGGTTGAGAAGAGCGTCAAGGGGAATGCAGGTGGTAAGAAATGCAATCTTAGAAAGGTTGTGAAGCAAAAAACAGGAGCTGGTTTGGATGCTAGGGGTGCGGCCTTAGACCAGAAGGGGCGCGATGCTGAAGGGAGATTGAACAGAAAGAAAAAGAAAATAGACAAGGAGGCATCAGTTCTGAAGGACCTGTTATCCTTGTAATGTTTCAATAAGACTCCTTGTATTGCTGTACGGGTACCGTATGTCAATTTGCGATACTGTTACCGTATCAGGCTTTCATAGGGCGAAACGTCAAATAGAGTTCCCTTCAGAAAAGTCGCTGCTGCGAAACAGAACTCACATTTCTCCCTTCTCCCCTTCCATCAAAACCCTCGTAGCTCGTGTCGCGAAAACATCAATCTCTTGCGCTTGCTACGCTGGTTCGGTGATAGAACTCGCACAATCTCCGTTGGAGTGCGTCGCGAGTATTTTAGTCTTAGCTGCATTGTAACCCCGTGAGCAGTTACTAACTCGCATCGTCGTTCCGTGGACTGTCAACAAGTCACATTGTTGTTCCAGAAGGCCGTTAGCTGTTGGGTCCCGGTTAGGAAGCCGAAAAGCCGGCTAGCCGGCAAAGATGTCGGAATGGAAGCTTCGCGTGGTGTCGCTGCTGCCGGCCGCGACTGACTCCGTGACGGCCTTGGGATTGACGAGCACGCTGGTCGCGCGCACGCACGAGGTGAAAGTGACTGTGATGAAATGTGACTGTGCGAATCTGACTGAGTGTGACTGGTCATTATGAATGTTGTCACTGTGACTGTGTGAATGTGACTGTCAATATGACAGTGTCAATGTGACTGTGTCAATGTGACTGTGTCAGTGTGACTGTGTCAATGCCGCTGCAGCTAATGTGACTCTGGTGATGAGACTGCACGGAAGAAATCGTGACCGTAACAGAAATGTAGTGTCATTTGCCTATTACCAGTCTACCTCCCATCTCTACATTTCCTCCTCTATCCTTCTCGTCTCTCCACCTTCCCCTCTGTTCCATTCTCCCTCCTTATTCGCCTATTACTCTCTCTCTCTCTCTCTCTCTCTCTCTCTCTCTCTCTCTCTCTCTCTCTCTCTCTCTCTCTCTCTCTCTCTCTCTCTCAACCCCTCGCGTCTCCCTTCACCTCCTTTCTTTCTCGCCCTCCCTCCGTCACAGTGCGACGCACCAGGTACGGACTCCATCCCGGTCTGCACCGAGCCTAAGCTAGGCCCGGCAGGCGCAGGCTCGGCCGAGCCTGCAATGTCCCAAGCCGAGGTGCACATGGCAATATCAACGCTCCGAGCCTCTGCAGCCTGGCAGCTGGCCTTCCTGCCGCCTCTCCCACAATTGCCTGTTGCCTCTCCTGCTACTGCTGCTGCTGGTGTTGACGCTGCTACTACTGCTGGTGACAGTGCGGGTAGTGCTGCTGCTGCTGCTGCTGCTGCTGCTGCTGCTGCTGCTACTGTTGCGGGTGGAGCTGCTGCTCCCTTGTCTCCTCCTCGTGCATCTGATCCCTCGTTTGATCTGCTGCTAGAGTGGTTCCTCTCGCCCTACCGTGTGGACGTTGCCATGCTGAGACGCCTCCGACCAGATGTCCTTCTCACGCAGGTGAGATTGTGTAACTGTAACTCGGGTGCGGGATGTAACTGTAACGCGGTTGAGGGTTGTAACACGCTTTCCCACACTGGGGCATACCATCACAAAGAATGCATTCCTTACAATTTCACTCCATCCCTGTGCATCCCATTGCACCGCAATCAACCCCAACTTTTTTTGCCTGTCTCACCCTACGCACCCGTGACAAGGGGAGCTCTCACATGCTAGGCCCACAACAACCTCCCGTACCCATCCTCATCCCAAACCCTCCAAACCCACTTCTCTTACACTGCCCTGCCCCCCTCCATTTCACCCAATCAGCTTCAAGAAGAGCCCGGGGTGCTTTCTTTCGAGGATGTTCAAAACGTGCTCTCTCACATGCTCGGCTCACAAGTCAAGATTGTTCATCTTGACCCTCCATCCCTTGTGGAGGCGATCAACGATGTCCGTAGGATCGGCGCCGCTCTCGGCCAATCACGGCGCGCCGAATCCACTGTCAAGGATCTCATGCAGCGAATCCAGACCGTCCGTGGGATGTGTGCGGGCAGACCGAGAAAAAAAGTTGTCTGCATCCAATGGCTGGATCCGATTTTCCTGGCAGGGGCATGGGTGCCAGATTTGATCCGCTTGGCCGGCGGCACGGGGTCGGAAAGTTCCAGGATGGTTCCTGAAGAGGAGCTCCAGGATTTAATCAGAGCCGCCGATGTGGTGATCTTCGCAGTGTGCGGCTGTGATTTGCCGGCGTCCATTGCTGCAGTGAAACGGGAGGCTGTGCAGAAATGGAAAATGTTCCATAGAGGGAGGAATAGTGGGGTGGAGGTGTCTGGGGAGGCAGACCGGCCTTTAACAGAGCCATCACTATCATCATCAGCAGCAGCAGTAGCAGTAGGACCATCGGCAAAAGCAGCACATGGGCCGTCGCCGAACCTGCCCACCATGGCTGTGGTCGAGGCTGCGAAGCTGTTCTCCAGGCCCGGGCCGAGCCTGGTTGAGTCTTTGGAGGTTTTGGCGGAGATTCTCCACCCCGAAACACAGAGGTTCGGACACCAGCAGCAGTGCTGGGTTGACCTCCCCTATCCTGCTGGTCTCTAAATTCGCAGAATTATTCAGAGTTGAGGTATCTTGCAAGGATGAGTAGACATGGGCATCAATGTCTCGTGTAACAGAACAGCGGTAACGGCGCGTGTCTTTTGGTGTAGATTGTCAAAGTTCGAGCCTAGTACCGCTTTGTAACGTGGCGACACGTCTCTCAACTGTATCCTACCGCGTACAACCTTTCTAAAAGTTCAACTTTTGGCCAAAGTTCAACCTCAAGGACACGCGCCCTAAGTGCCCATGTCTAAGGAGGAACATCAATGACTCAGGAGGACTCAGGGAAATCCACATCCTGAGACCCAGATGTTCCCAGAGGCCCCCAGATGTTCAGGGACTGCTATGCATGCTGCACTGCGATGGTTTATTTTACTGGACTGTTACCTTATAGGGGTAACGTTAGGACTTTAGGGGATATGGCTGGAGGGGAACATGTGAGGGGGGAAAGAACATGTGTTGCCTATGACACTGTAATGCAGTCATGCAGGGGCAGAACATGATGAGATGATGATACGCCAGTGGACCAACACTGACTAGGCTCCTGGCAGGCGCAGTGGGGTATTGCTGGCAGGGCAGGATGAATACTATGTGTCGCCTTATGACAATGTAACACAGTCATGCAGGCGCACAACATGATGGGGAGGATACAGGCATACCGTAACTCCTGTGGACCAACACTGACAAGATACCTAAGAATTCTGACTAGATACTACGAAGCCTGGCTCGAGGAAAGCTGCCCAGATAATCCTCAAATCAGCCAAAGCTGACCAGACCAGGACCTATTTCCCTCCCTCTTGCTCCTCTTCTTCTCACTCTTGCTCCGCTTCCCTCGGAAACCCACCATGCTAGGAGTACGACTGTTATTCGCACCACCCCCAGGGTGTGATGACCCCACCTTCGATAACCCCAGCCTTGATAACTCCTCCAACTCCCCTTCTGCCTCCTCTCCTATGCGGCACTAAGAAGCCTGGCTCCTCCCCTTGGCAAGCCTAGTCAGTAACTGACCAAGAATCCTGACCAGATACTAAGAAGCCTGGCTCGAGGAAAGCTGCCCAGAAAAACCTCGGGTCAGCCAAAGCTGACCAGACCAGGACCTATTTCCCTCCCTCTTGCTCCTCTTCTTCTCACTCTTGCTCCGCTTCCCTCGGAAACCCACCATGCTAGGAGTACGACTGTTACTCGCACCACCCCCGGGGTGTGATGACCCCACCTTCGATAACCCCAGCCTTGATAACTCCTCCAACTCCCCTTCTGCCTCCTCTCCTATGCATGCCACACCTGCCACATCTGCCACACCTGCCACACCTGCCACACCTGCCGCACCTAACTCAAACCCCATATCCTCTCTACCTTCCCCGTCACCATTTCCTTGACCGTTCCTTCCCTGTACCTTGCCCGTGCCTTGCCCTGAGGCTGTTTGCGCTATCTCAGCCAGCGTCTGCACGCGCAGCACATCTGCATCGAGGGACTTGGACCAATCGGGAAGAGCCCGGTGCTGCAGGAAGTGCGAGATGACAGCGAGGATGCGGGGGTCTCGGAAGTATGCCCCGTGGTTGAGGTCGAAGCGACCGGTGAGCTCTCCGATATGCTCCTCTATCATCACGCATAGTTGCTTGATCTGCAGGGAAGAAGAGGGGGGGGGGCTAGGAAGTGCCGCAAGAACTCATACCAAGCAACTATGCATGCACGTATGGATAGTGGCTCTGCACGTATGGATAGTGGCTCTGCACGTATGGATAGTGCCTCTGCACGTATGGATAGTGGCTCTGCACGTATGGATACTTGAAATAAAGTCATTGCCACTATCCATACGTGCAGAGCAAAATACTCTGCTACACACAACACACAAGCTGTTGCACAAACCTTCCTGTGCCACCATACCTGCCACCATCCATACCTGCCACCATCCATACCTGCCACCATCCATACCTGCCACCATCCATGCCTGCCACCATCCATGCCTGCCACCATCCATACCTGCCACCATCCATACCTGCCACCATCCATACCTGCCACCATCCATACCTGCCACCATCCATACCTGCCACCATCCATACCTGCCACCATCCATACCTGCCACCATCCATACCTGCCACCATCCATACCTGCCACCATCCATACCTGCCACCATCCATACCTGCCACCATCCATACCTGCCACCATCCATACCTGCCACCATCCATGCCTGCCACCATCCATACCTGCCACCATCCATGCCTGCCACCATCCATGCCTGCCACCATCCATGCCTGCCACCATCCATACCTGCCACCATCCATACCTGCCACCATCCATACCTGCCACCATCCATACCTGCCACCATCCATACCTGCCACCATCCATACCTGCCACCATCCATACCTGCCACCATCCATACCTGCCACCATCCATACCTGCCACCATCCATACCTGCCACCATCCATACCTGCCACCATCCATACCTGCCACCATCCATACCTGCCACCATCCATACCTGCCACCATCCATACCTGCCACCATCCATACCTGCCACCATCCATACCTGCCACCATCCATACCTGCCACCATCCATACCTGCCACCATCCATACCTGCCACCATCCATACCTGCCACCATCCATACCTGCCACCATCCATACCTGCCACCATCCATACCTGCCACCATCCATACCTGCCACCATCCATACCTGCCACCATCCATACCTGCCACCATCCATACCTGCCACCATCCATACCTGCCACCATCCATACCTGCCACCATCCATACCTGCCACCATCCATACCTGCCACCATCCATACCTGCCGCACAAACTCTCTGTCGGTCAGCCGCGGGTTCTTCTTCATTCTCCTCATCTCCGATCGTAACAGCCGATACATCCCCGATGCCGCTGCTGCCTCTTCCAACTTGCTGTCCTCCCACAGAAATTCATACAGCAACTGCTGCTGCTGCTGCTGCTGCTCCTTCTGCTGTTGCTGGTCTGCTCTCTTCTCTCCCTCCTTCTCATCTTTCGCGTTATTGCAGCCTTCCTTGTCCTCATGCTCCTCCATGAAAAACTTTACCTCCTCTTCGGTTTCAACCGCAGATGAAGCTGCAAACGGCGTAGCACCCATGTCACCCACCGAAGCACCCACCGAACCACCCACTGAAGCACCCACCGAAGCACCCACCGAAGCACCCACCGAACCACCCACAGAACTACCCACGAAACCACCCACCGCCCCCACAGAATCGTCACACACGGGCTCCTCTATACAGCCTCCCACTCTCTTCCACTCTGCAACCCCAACACCCCTTATCCCCCCCGCGAACTTCGCAACCCCCACCTCAACCCCCTTCCCTCCTCCACCTCCCACCATCTCACCCACACCACCGCCCTCCCCCTCACTCTCATGCCCTGAGGCTCCTCCTCCATCCTCTATATTAGCCTCCTCAGTAGCATCCTGAGCCTGACTCCCACTATTCCCACCCACATCGATACCATCCTCATCGTTCTCAACCCATCTGATCCAACCCCAAAGGTTCCTCCTACTGCCTTCCCTGCTCTCGCTCCTCTTACTGCCTTCACTGCTCCCGCTCCTGCTCTCGCTCCTCCTGCACCTGCTGCTGCTGTTAAATGCATCCCTTGCGTTCTGCCCCCTTCCGTTACTACTGCTGCTGCCCTTCCCATGCTCATTTCTCTCAAAAAAACTGACCAATTCCTGGCGTTGCCCCTATTGTCTCCCCTGTTATCGCTCCTGCTCCCACTCTCACTCTCACTGCTGCTGCTGCTGCTGCTGCTGCAACTCCTAGAGACTTTTCTCACATTTGCCATAACACTTCTTGCCCTCGGTCTGGCCCAGAATTTGCTCTCCTCCACAGGGAGGTTTCCCGTTAGCTTTTCTGACCGGGCTGCCCGGGAAAGCCATGTGCGGGCAAATGAGCGAGCCCTATTGTTCCCTTGCAGTTTCACCCTGGCAATGTGTAAAGGAGCAATAGGTGAAGCTGTACCTGTGGCAGAAGCATCATCATCATCATCATCATCATCATCATCATCATCATCATCATCATCATCATCATCATCATCATCATCATCATCATCATCATCATCATCATCATCATCATCATCATCATCATCATCATCATCATCATCATCATCATCATCATCATCATCATCATCATCATCATCATCATCATCATCATCATCATCATCATCATCATCATCATCATCATCATCATCATCAGCAGCAGCAGCAGCAGCAGCAGCAGCAGCAGCAGCGTCAGCAGCCAGCAGACGGTGTGTCAGATGGGACGAAAAGAGAGGATCCGAACGAATCTACTCGTGATTCGCATCTTGCAATCCGCCTCCTCCTCAGGGTCTTCTGCGTTACAAGAAGGCGGTGCTGTAACGGGGTTACCAGCATGTTCTGGTGATGTGACGGGAAGGAAGGAACATGATGCTCCGAGGGTGTTACAGGCATGTGGTTGCTTCGAGGGGTGGAAGCAGGGTGGTAGGGATGTTTGGGTGGCAAAATAGAGGTGTGATGTGCGGTGGTGTGTGGTGTTGAGGGAAACATTCTTGGGAGGTGTGTGGGAGGGTTTGATGCTGCTTTTGCCTCTGCTCCTGCTCCTGCTCCTGCTCCTGCTGCTGCTGCTGCTGCTGCTGCTGCTGCTGCTTCTGCTTCCGCTTCTGCTCCTCCTGCTGCTGCTGTTGTTGTTGCTGCTCCTTCTGCTCCCACCCCTCTTTCTGCTCTTGCTCCTGCTCCTACTCCTGCTCCTTCTGCTCCCACTCCTCGTGCTGCTCCTACTCCTGCTCCTACTCCTGCTCCTTCTGCTCCCACTCCTTCTCCTTCTGCTCTTGCTCCTGCTGCTGCTCCAGCTGCTTCTTCTGCTGCGTCTTTTTCCATCCCCTCCTCTTCCCCTCTCCCCTTTCTCACCTCCTGCCGCCCCTCCTCCCGCTCCCCCACCCTCCCCCTTTCCCTTCCCTGTAACAATAACAGATGAGCCTCAAGCCAACGCGCCTCACCCCCCTCCCCACTAAGACCCAGCCCCTCAATTGAATCACCTCCCTCACTGTCACCCCCACCCGCATCTACAGTGTCGTCATGGTAACCAGGCATGAGCTGCCCTTGCAACGACTGAGTCTTGGCTTCAGCCAGGAGCTTCTGAACGTTCCAGTGCTCTATGTGGTGTGACCAGAGGTGCAGGTCTAACACTTCATCCACATACACACTTGCGAAGCTGAGCTCGTTTGGGGAAAGGCCGAACGCGATCGTTACTATCACGCTCCGTACTGTCTCCACGAGCGCTGGTGCTACTATGCGGGAAATGAGCGAGAGGAGGGCGAAGGGCACGAGGAAAATGATGTTCCAGAGAAGCACTCTGATGAGATTGACTATGTATAGGAACCAGAGGAGGAAGCGGCGTAGGAAAGTGGAAGACGAAGAGAAGGAGGAGGAAGAGGAGGAGGAGGAGGAGGAGGAGGTGGGGAGGGGAGGGAGAGGAAACCAAAAGGACAGTTTGATAAACTCTCGTAGTTCGGGAAAGATGTAGGCGCGTGCGATTGGCTCGACGGAAAGCGCCAGGCTGGCTTCGTCTAATTTGCCGGCGTGGACCACGAGTGCTGACATGGCAGGCGACCAGTGGTAACCAGGTGCGTGGTAGATGTTACCGTTGTAGCATGCAGGTTGGTTCCATGACTGCAGGAAGGAGGGGAGAGGAAGGGAGAGAGAGGAGAGGCAGAGAGAGGAGAGGCAGAGAGAGGAGAGGCAGAGAGAGGAGAGGCAGAGAGAGGAGAGGCAGAGAGAGGAGAGGCAGAGAGAGGAGAGGCAGAGAGAGGAGAGGCAGAGAGAGGAGAGGCAGAGAGAGGAGAGGCCGAGAGAGGAGAGGCAGAGAGAGGAGAGGCAGAGAGAGGAGAGGCAGAGAGAGGAGAGGCAGAGAGAGGATGGGGGCCCAAAATTCTGCTCTTCTGAAACAAATTTCATCAGCCCAAGTTTCAAATCAAGAGAGGGAGCATGCGGAAACTTTTCGAATCACTAGACAGGACCGAAAAAGCCTGGAAGAGGAAAAGAGTTCACTAATAAAGATATCCGCACTGTACATACACACCTCAGACGATAAATAAGCTTGCACAGCGATGCTGACGACGCCAAACAGCCCGACAATTGCCACCACCACCAGCGGCCACAGCAGCAGCTGATTCACCTCCAAGTGAGCCGCCTCCATCACCACCACTTCCCAGAGCACCACATACCCCAGCACCACTCCAAAAACCGCTATAGCCGACAGCACCGTCGCCACCACCAACCGGAACACCCCTGCCCGGTCCCATTTCTTGACATAGAAGGGGGTTCCCAGGAACACGAGGGAGCCGAGGGCGTTGGAGAGAGGGGAGGTGGCGAGGCGGTGGGAGAGGAAGAGGCGCTGGCGGGTGGCAGGGAGGCCGAGGAGAGAGTCGAGCCAGCGGTAGCGCCCCCAGGGGTAGCGCTCCTGGCTCTTGTGCTTGTGCGTGGTGGGGTGGAGACTGGTTGGGAGGGATTGAGAGAGGGGAGAGGTAGAGGTGTTGATTGAATGACTGCTAAAGGGGAGGCCGGGGAGGGAGTCAAGCCAGCGGTAGCGCCCCCAGGGGTAGCGCTCCTGGCTCTCGTGCTTGTGCGTGGTGGGGTGTAGACTGGTTGGGAGGGATGGAGAGAGGGGAGAGGTAGAGGTGTTGATTGAATGACTGCTAAAGGGGAGGCCGGGGAGGGAGTCAAGCCAGCAGTAGCGCCCCCAGGGGTAGCGCTCCTGGCTCTCGTGCTTGTGCGTGGTGGGGTGGAGACTGGTTGGGAGGGATTGAGAGAGGGGAGAGGTAGAGGTGTTGATTGAATGACTGCTAAAGGGGAGGCCGGGGAGGGAGTCAAGCCAGCGGTAGCGCCCCCAGGGGTAGCGCTCCTGGCTCTCGTGCTTGTGCGTGGTGGGGTGGAGACTGCTTTAGCGTGTGCATGCTAGGGTGGAGACTGCTCGGGAGGGGTTGGGGGTGGGATGGGGAGGGGGAGAGAGGAGAGGAACATGAGGAAGCTTAGAGCGTTGGAGAGGGGCAAATCGGCGAAGCGGTGGAAGAGAAAAGGGTCAAACGATTTTTTACACGCCTAAAAGAAGGTCGCAACAGGCAAAGCCTTGAAGGTAAGGTAATTTTTAACACAAAAAAAAAAAAAAATGTCAACGCAGAAAAAAAAAAAAAAAAAACAAAACAAAAAACCTTCAAGGTTAAGGTTATAAAAGTTTTTTTTTAATATGACTCAGGGAATAGCACCTTTGAAACAAGATGGGGGTGGGCAGCCATCGCCGCCACCCAGACCAGCGAGATCTTATTTGACTCGGACTCCTCCACTTGCGAATCAAATCGTATCCGCGCCTGTGTGCCGCCCAAAATTCCTGCTCCACCAATGGGTGCAAGTCAGCTGGTGATTGGCTGCTTAATTGTCGCATGTACTGACAAGGGAGAGATGGTCGAGAGAGGGAGGAGAGACGGGGGGAAACGGGGGAAAGTGGAGGACAGGGAGGTATGTTTTGGTTTACTCAAGTTTATTTATTGGTAAACAGGTCTTTGGATCTTTGGAAGTGCAGAAAGTTGGTAAAAATAATACAAAAGAAGAGCAGAAAATTGTGGAAAAGGTTTATCACATTGTGGTAAATCAAGGCGAAGCAAACTATAGTGAGGTGATTCCGAGAGAATACCCAACTAGTCACTCACCAACTCCACGGCTTTCAGCAGCACTCACCAACTCCACTGCTTTCAGCAGCACTCACCAACTCCACTGCTTTCAGCAGCACGTTTCCCCCATGGGAGTGAGCGATAATGTGTATCCTCGCTGTAGGGTCGCTGCAGGCGATATCCGCTATAAGCAATGAAAGCTGGGATCCCGGGGGGTGGTGGGGGAGGAGTGCGAGGAGGGGGAGGGAAGGGGGAAGGGGGAGGAACGGATAAGAGTTGAAGAGAGGCGGGGTTGTTCTAGTTACAGGGTAACCCGTTTACCCACGATGTTAAAAACCACGCTACTAGACTAAACCCAATCCCTCCCGCACCTTCTCGGCAGCTTCCACCCTCCCCTTGTGAGTGTTCGTGCCGTCCCAGTGGAAAGGGTACGGCGCGGCGCCTTGCCGGCCGCCGGCAGCTCTCCCGGCCGCGATGCTCCCGGCAGGCAGCTTCCGCCACACGCTGTCTGCTCCTAACGGCCCTCGCGCCAAAAGCGCGCCAATTTTGGAGCAAAAGTTCTGCTCGCCGGAAACCGCGGGCTGGTACCACCTCCGCGTTCCGTCAGACGGTGGTGCGTCGAAGGTTCCGTGCACCACGATCACGTAATGCGTCTCGCGCGTCGCGTCGAAATCCAACCGTCGCACGCGGAAGCCCGTTTCCAAATCGACGGCTGACGTTTCGCGTCCGAAAGATGATTCCGATTCGTAATCGACAAATCCCGGGAGAGGGAAATCTTGACCTGGAACCTCAGGAAGAGGATTTTCCACGTCATCTGGAGGCTGAGCCACGTCATGGTCAATGTCGTACGGGTCTTCGGGCTCCTGGAAGCTTACGTGCTTAGCCACGCGCCGCGAAGGACCACTACTAGCTTTGATTTCGCTTCGAGAGGAAGGCTTCGTGGCACCCTGCGAATCCTGCATGTTAATTTTGGGCCGCTTGCGATAGCAACTTAATATTATTAGCCTGCCGGTCTCCGTTAACGTGAACGTCACCGTCACCGTCCGTCACGGTCACCGTCAGCATCCCTGTTCCAAACCTTACTGTGAAACGCGCGTACTGTGCTCTCAGGCACTTCCGCAAGCAGCGAACTCCTTAGAATCACCGTACTGCAAACCACTAAAATGCACTGCAACGTGTTCAGCATACGGAGGACCGGATAGAACCGAAGACAGCAGTGATGCCGAACCAACTTGGCCACCCTCGAGAACTCCTGCGGGTATACAGTACCACGGTGGCGGAGCTTTCAAAAGTGCTGTCAGTTTCGGGCCGCACCGCCCCGCCCCATCCCCCCCTCCACCTCTTGATTCGCTCCGTAAATTTCGGTGAGCCTACCGAACCGTTCCACATCGCGGTGCACCCTTGAATTGTCCACCCAGCTCAATTGAACACCACAAAGAGAAAGCTATATTTTTACTCCTTATTTTTTATTTTTCCTTTTTCTTTCTCCTATGCTTCTTTCTTGTATCCGTTCTCCTGGATATGCAACCTAAGTGAGAAAAACTGAGGGGATGGATGGAATAATCTTCCATGTAACAGACACAGCACATGGCATGGAAGAACAATTTGCATAATGCTGTTCTGGCAATTGCCAGTGGCAAAACAAAACACACCTTTCCAAAACCTGCGACAGATTGGTTTGCCAAGAAACCTTGAGGGTGTATAGACGTAGCAAAGGGGTGCCGGAGAAAAGGAATAACTCGCTCAGGAATTGTTGTACACTGGTATCATAGTCATGAAGAATCAACATCACTCAGAATGCACCAGCCAGCAGCCGTCACCAGTCTGTATCATTATGCCCCTCATCCTCATTCCTCCTCTTGAGACATACGGTATCAAAGGCCACTAAGTAATCACCAGCCGAGGAATCACCAGCCACTCATGAATGAACGCACAGACCCACCCCCCTCCTCACAGCACCTGCTTCCCCACCTTGACCCCTACTCTTCCTCCCATAACCCCTCCATTTCATCGTTCTCCTCATTCCCTCCTGAGACGTCTCATAACCCCTAACTCTCTCCCCGCCTCAACCCCTGCTCTTCCTCCCATAACCCTTCGATTTCATTGCTCTCCTCATTCCCTCCTAACCCTTCTCATAGCCCCTAACTGTCTCCCCACTTCGCCGTCTACTCTTCCTCCCATAACCCTTCCATTTCATCGCTCTCTTCATTCCCCAAAACCCTAAACCCTGCTCTGTCTCCCCACTTCGCCTTCTACTCTTCCTCCCACAACCCCTCCATTTCATCGCTCTCCTCATCCCCTCTTGCCCATCCATGAACCCCCCCTCCCCCTCGTTATAGTCACCTCCTCCTCTTCCTCCTCCACCTCCTGCCCCTGCAGCACCAAACCCCCCACTGCTGTGCACAAATCGGCCGCTGCTGCCACCTCTATTGTCACGATCGGAATAGTCACCGCCAGTTTCAGTACCATCACTATCAACCCATCACCATTCCCATCATCATCATCACCACCACTACCATCACCATCGTTATAAGCAGCAGCAGCAACACCGCCACCATTACCACTACCACCACTGTAGCCACCAGCAGCAGCAGCACCACCACCGCCACTGCCACCAGCAGAAAAAACATAACCACGCCCAATCCCCCTCCCCTCTGCTCCCCTCCCCATCCTGTTTCCCTCCTCCCCTCCCCCCTCTCCGCCTCCCCACCTGCCATCACCCCTGTAATCCTCCTCCTCACTCTCCTCCTCTTCACTTTAGCCTCTGCAAAAGGTAGCCCCCCACTACCCCCCTCCCATCACTCCCCTCCCCTCCCATAACTGTTCCCCCTAAAGCTCCGCCCATCCCTCCCCCTCCCCCGTCTTCCATCCCCTCTGCTCCCCCATCCCCTTGACTGCCGATCACTGCAATATCTGCCACCTTTGCCCCCCTCCCCCTGCCTCTCCCCCTCCCCCCCCCCTTCCTCTCCCCGCCCCCCCCTGCTCTTCCCGCCCCTCCTCTCCCTCTCCCCCTCCTACACCACCCCTCCCCCTTCCACCACCCTCCCCCTTCCACCCCTTCCCCTTCTCTCCCCCCCTCCACCACCCCCTCTCCCCCCCCACTCCCTCCCCACCCACATCCACACTCCCCTCTCTCTCACTCTCATCCCCCCCTAACACTTCCACCCCCTCCTCCTCGCCACCTCCCCTCCCCTCCTCCCCTCCCACCCCCCCTCCCTTCACTCCTCTCCACCTTCAACCTCTTCCTCTCCCTCCTCTGCATCAGCCTCTCAGCCTTCTCTGTTAAAATCTCCTGGGCGTCCCTCCCCTGCTCAATCACCTGAAGCCACTGCGACTCACTCAGCGCATCTGTATAAACCACCTGCTTCCGCTTCCTCCTCCCCATCTCAACCCCCACCCCATCCTCCCCCACCACTCCGCCCTCCCCCCCCTCCCCTCCTTCCCCTCCCTTAAAAACACCCACTCCGGCACCTCGTCCTTTTCCATCAGTCCGAGCCGCGCCGACCCAAACTGCCTCCTCCGAATCTCATCCATCCTCTCAAACATCTCAAACTCCTCTTCTGTCCTTGCTATAAGCCGATTCGTCTCACTCTCATCCGGCAAATCAGGGGCCAAATCCGGGATCTTGCCTCTCTTCATAATCTGCTCCAGCAGCTCTCTCCTCTCCTGCGCCGTCGACGTCGTGTTGAACATCCCCGCTTGAATCACCTTCGCATCAATCCCCATCTTATTCTTGGCCCTCTCTAGAATCTCCTCCTCTATAGACCCACGCTTACAAGCACAAACACCCGAACCTCCCGCTTCTGCCCGATCCTGTGCGCCCGATCCTCTGCCTGCTGGTCCATCTGGGGATTCCAATCAGAATCAAATAAAATCACCGTATCTGCCGTCTGCAGGTTCAGTCCAAGGCCGCCCGCCCGGGTGCTCAGCAGGAAGATAAAGTACGGCGAGTCCGGCGCGTTGTACAGCTGTAAGAGGCGGCCTCGTTCGTCTGTTTTGGTCATGCCGTCGAGACGCAGGTAAAGCATGCCGACCGACCGAAGGTAATCTTCCAGTAAATCCATCACCTTGGTCATCTGAGAGAACATCAAAATCCGATGCCCCCCGGCCTGTAACTTGGGCAGAATCCGGTCCAGCAGCTCAAATTTTCCGCTTGCCCGAACGCGCTCATTGGGAGATTGTGGCTGGTAGGGGTGGTCGAGCGCGTCGAGAAGGAAGAGGTAGGGGTGGTTGCAGCACTTGCGCAGCTGCATCGCTGTGTTCTGAAGCGCTCTGGATTTGCCTCCTCCGCCGTTGTCGTCCAGGCCAACGCAGCCCGCGGAAACGATTTGGGAGTAGTATTCGCGCTGCCAGGCGGACATGTCGCATTTGAGTATCACTTGGCGCTTCTGAGGGAGGAATTTCTCGACCTCTGACTTCTTTCGACGGAGGATAAAAGGCCGGATGACCTGGGGAGGGTGGAAGGGGGGGGGGAAACGGTGGGAAAGAGAGGAAGGGTAGGGAGAAGGAGGAGTTGTGAGTCATATCACTTATTGGCGCTTCTGCGGGAGGAATTTCTCAACCTCTGACTTCTTTCGACGCAGGATAAAGGGCCGGATGACCTGTGTGTGGAAGACGGGGGGGGGGGAGGGAAGGGGGCGGGGGGGGGACCAGGGGGGAGGAGGAGCGGGAGGGAGGAGAGAGATGGAGAGGGGGAAAGATGGGGGAAGAGGAAAGGGGAAGAGGCAGAGACGATTTGGGAAGAGTACTCGCGCTTCCGGGCAGACATGAAGCATTTGAAAATCACTTTGCACTTCTGCGTGAGGAATCTCTCGATCGACCTGGTGCTTTTGTGTGATAAGTCGATTTTTGAGTCGACTCAAAAGCGTCTGATCACCAGCACCTGCTCCTCCTCGTTCAGCGTCATTTGAGCCGTCTCAAAACACCCGAACGTCACGTCGCACTTGCTTCCAAGTGTTCCTCGGGCGGAAGAAGTGTGTGTTGTGAAAGAAACCAACTGATGATTCATGAATCACAACAGCAACACCCGAGCCCACCTGGTGCAGGCGTCGAATGACCAGCAGCTGCTCCTCCTCGTTCAGAGACACGTCACACTTATCCGCAAATGGCGCATTGAACCAGTCCTCCAAATTACCATGCATGCTCCAAAGGAACTTGACCTCTTCGAAAAAGAGGGAGAAGGGGGAGGAGGGGGGGTTGGGGCCAGCGAGGGGACTGGGGAGGGGAGAGAGGGGGGACACCTCTCACAGGCCCAACCCACCTGGTGCAGCCTCCGAATGACCAGCAATTGCTCCTCCTCGTTTAGGGACACATCGCACTTATCCGCAAACGGCGCATTGAACCAGTCCTCGAAATTACCATGCATGCTCCAAACGAGCTTGACCTCTTCGAAAAAGAGGGAAAAGGGGGAGGAGGGGGGGTTGGGGCCAGCGAGGGGAATGGGGAGGGGAGAGAGGGGGCACACCTAACAGGCCCAACCCACCTGGTGCAGCCTCCGAATGACCAGCAATTGCTCCTCCTCGTTTAGGGACACATCGCACTTATCCGCAAACGGCGCGTTGAACCAGTCCTCAAAATTATCGCTCGAGTTGAAAATCGCGGGCAGGAGAAAATTCAGCAGTGCCCAGAGCTCCCCCAGGCTGTTCTGAATCGGCGTCCCGGTCAGCAAAAGTCTTTTCCGAATCGAGTATCCCGCCACCAGTGTTTTACTTAGTACTGACTCGTGGTTCTTAAGTCGATGCCCCTCGTCTACTATCACATAGTGCCACTTAATCTTCTTCAAGAATGCCTTATCCCTGATAATAAGGTCATAGTGCGTCAGCAGCACACTGAACTTATACTCTTCCCCTTCTGGCCCCGTCAGGCCCCCTCCTCCCCCCGCTCCTCCCCCTCCCCCGGACTCCTCACTCCCCCAATCATCATCCACCGCACTCCCTCCTCTCCCTCCCCTCCCTCCTCTCCCTCCTCCCCTCCACCCGCCCCTCCTCCCCCCTCCTCCTCTCCTCCCTGCCAGCACCCCTCCGAATTTCTCCCTCAGAAGCTTCCTCTCGTCTTGCCTCCCATCGTACATCACCACTTTGCAACTGGGAAACCACGCTGCAAACTCCACTCCCCAGTTCGGGAGCACAGCCTTAGGAGCCAGCACCAGATGCGGCCCGTAATCCCCCTTTTTCTCCGCCATAAACGCGATAAACGCAATTGTTTGTATCGTTTTCCCGAGCCCCATTTCGTCCGCCAAAATCCCGTTTAAATTGTTATTATAAAGGGACACCATCCATTGCAGCCCTTCCATCTGATACTGCCGAAGCTGCCGCCCGGGTGACAATAACGAGGGCTGTTCTGTCACCTTCTCTTCTATCGAATGCACTGCCCGGTCATACCGCCTCTGCCCCTCCATTAAGTCACGCTTCGACTGCCCTGCTGCTCCCTCCTGCTGCCCCTCCTGCCCCTCCCCTGTCCCCCCTCCCTCCCCTCCTGCTCCCCCATCCGCCTCTCCTGCTCCCCTCCCCTCCCCTCTCCCCTCAATCCCCCCACCACCTCCCCCACCACCCTCCCCACCCCCACCAGCGTCTTTCTGCTTCTGCACCATTGCCCCCAGCCTCTGTAAAAGCTCATCCGTTTTTCCCAAGAGAGTGTGCAACCTCTCGTTCTTACTTTCCTCCACCAATTTGAAATACGCTTCCTGATCGCCGGCTTTAAGTGCCTGCACTCGCATGCGCTCGGCCCGCGACGCGCGCTGCTTCTGACGCGCGTGCCACGTCAGCACGCCGTCGCTCCGCTGCTTCCGCCGCCGCTGCTCCGCCAGGCTGGCTGCTGACATGTCGCGCCCTGCCTGCGCCACGTCAGCGAAGAACCGGGCGGCGGATTCTACCGAGTCTGCTGCACGACGAGCCCTTCGAGCCGCCTTTGGAAGGGAGGGAACCAAGGGTGTGTTGAAGGGGGGGGAGGAGAATCAGGGGAATTGGGTTGGGGAAGAGAAGGGCGAAACAAGGGATGGCAGCAGCATGAATCACTGGAGAAATCATAAACAAAAAAAAACCAACAGAACAACAAAAACAGATCACACGAAACACTACAAAAGAAGGAAACTACATGGTGGGCCTTCAATCGCCTTGTCACTACCAGTTCCATGGTGACAATACAACCACCAAACCCACCTCAATCGCCTTGAAACCTCAAAAATCCAGATTTTGAGCCCCACCAACCCCACCACCAGCTGCCCTTGCAGCCGCTGCAACATCTCTCTTTCTCACCTCAATGGCCTCTGAAGCTTCAAAATCCAGATCCAGAACCCCACCAACGCCAATGCCATTCACACCGGCCCCACCACCAGCCGCTCTAGCAGCCGCTGCCGCCGCTGCTGCAGCATCTCTCTTCCGCGCCTCTATCTCAAACCCTAACCCCTCCTCGTAATAATCCTCGTCCCACAAATCCTCCCCCTCCACCTCCCCCTCCCACGCCTCCACCTCCTCCTCTGATGGTTTCATGCCAGGTGGCAGCTGCCACCTCAGCATCGCGCGTTCCACGTCAGCATGCGTCAGACGCAGCAGGCTCCAGTCCAGCAGCGGCTGGTGCCGCCCGTGTGCCACGTTGGCTTTCATGATTCGCTCTTCCTCCTCCTTTCTCACTCGCTCCGCTCTCTCTTTATCCACTTTCTCACTCTCATCCCCTTCTACTATCTCTATCTCGCTCTCCTCCATCTCTACTGCTCTCCATTTCTTCCCCACCCGCCCACTTTCCATTGCCGCCACGTCATCTTCTACCACTTTAACCACATCCAGTTCGTCATCAGCCAGCTCAGCACGCGCCACGTCAGCATCTGCCACGTCAGCATGCCCGTTCACCAAAGGACCAGTCAGTGCGCCGCCTGAAGCCCAGTCAGTGATCCTCTTTTCAGCAAGCACCTCAAAACGAACCTTCCTCTGCAACCCACGAAGCTTCAGGCACCTGAGCTGGATCTCCAATGACCGTCTGACACCTGGCGCCTGCACCACCGCCAGCAAGGATTCCAATTTCGCAATCCTCTCTCCCACTTTCTCACTCTCCTCCCTCTCCCCTTCCTCCACAAGTTTCCCCCACTCCCCCTCTCTCACCATCTCCCTCCCCGCCCTCACTCTCTCCTCTGCCGCCCGCCTTATCCTCCTGAGCGCCTCGATCTTCTGACGCACCAGCTGCGGCGGGAACAGGCCCGCCAGCTGGCGGTCCGTGAGTGGCTGGCCGGCCGCCAGCGTGGCGAAGCAGTCGCGCTGCGATTGGAGGAGGGAGAGCTGAGCTGGCGTGAGTGATAAAGGAGGAGAGGCGGAAGGAGGGTCGGCGGGCGTAGGAGTAGGAGGAGGAGGAGGAAAGGGGGAAGGGAGGTGTGAGGATGGAGCGAGGGCAGCAGGAGGGGGAGGGGGTGGGGGAAGAGGAGAGGGAAGAGGAGTGGTAGCAGAGAGTGGGACAGGAGCTTGTGATACGAGGGGTACTGTAGCAGAGACAGGGGCATGAGAAGGGGGGGGTGGTGGTGTGGGTGGGATGGTGAACACTCTTGTGCCTGGAGCAGGTAAGTCAGTAGCAGCTGCATCAGTAGCAGGTGAGTTAGTAGTATCCATAGCAGCAGCTCCCGTTCCGGTCTCTGCCTTCACAGCAACTGGATAGGGAGTTGGCGTAAGAACCTCAACACCCGCTGTCAACTGAGCGTCCGGCTGAGCGTCAGGTGACTCCGTGCACTCAAGAATACTCCGGGTTACACCCTGGGTTACACCATGGGTTACACTCTGCACTACACACTGGGTTGCGATCTGGGTTACGCTCTGCGTTTCACCAGCCTTAACTGGTACACTTGCCACATCTTGCACAGGAGCAGAAACATCAAAAGCAGCTGTTAAAGAACCCTCTCGAGCACTGCTTTCGCCAACTGCTGCTGCCCCCTCCGCGTGTTGCCGCTCTCCCTTTTTCTCTTCTTCCTCCACCTCTCCTTTCCGCATCCCCTCTTCCACCTTCTCTTCTTCCCCTTCTCTTCCTCCACCTTCTCTTCTCTCCCCTTCACTTCTTCCCCCTTTTCTTCTTCTCCCTTCTCCTCTCTTCCTAGCTCCTCTCCCCCCATCAGTTCTTTCCCATTATCCTCTTCTTCCTTAGCCTCTCCCCCCTTCTCCCCTTCCCCTTTTTCTTTCTCCCCTTCCTCATCCTCTACCCGCATCTCCGCATCCCCTTTCTCCTCTTCCCCCTCCACCTCTCCCCCTTTCTCCTCTCTAATCATATCCTCTTCCCCCGTCCCTCCCCCTTTTCTCTGCTCCTCCTCTCCCCCCTCTCCCCCCACTCCCCCGTGATCTACACCACACCCACTCGCAGGAGCAAAATCACCTCTATCGCCCCTGTTATTGTCACCACCGTCTATTGTCACCTCTCCGTCCAAATTTTCACCTCCCCCCTCCCTTTGCCCCTCCGCCAACGCGCCTTCCCCTTGACTCTCCGCCAGCGCGCCTTTCCCTTGCCCCTCCGCCAAACCGTCTTCCGAACCCCCTGTCACCATCTCTTGATGCACTGGGGGAAATCCGCCTACTCCCGCGCCCTTCCCTTCACCTGCTTCCGCTCCTCCACCATCCTCCCCCGCGCCCCATTCCGCCACTGGCTCCGCGTTTCCCCTCTCTCCCGCCAATTCCGCTCCCCCCACGACATCTGAATCGAAACCTCCGCCAGTAGCGCCAGTTCTGCCCTCCCCTATACCTTCCGCCAGGCCTTCCGCCAGTTCCGCGGACCCTTCCGCGGGCTCCGCGGAACCTGCCGCAGAGCCCTCCGCCGGATACATTGCGCCCAGCCTTCCCTTACGCCACTTTCGTAACAAGACTTGCGCGAGTGAAGCCGAGGTCTCTCAGACGTATCGACCCAGAAGTCACTCTCCTCAGTCTCGAACTAACCTTTCGAAATAAAAAAAACCGCGTGTAATGAGTCGATTTCAAAATCTCTCAGACGTCTCGACCGAAAAGTCACTCTCCTCAGTCTCGATTGCTCAGGTCGAGGGGCCGTGCGCGGGGACCTTGGGGACAATAAGAACCGAATGTGAAACGAACGCCCTCTGTTCTCTCGGTCTGGCGATTAAAGATTCGCCCGGCCAGCCCGTGACGGAAAGCGAACGCCTCTCCTAAGCGGGAATCCGCTAGCCACGATCGGTGAAAACAAAATCCAGAAACCATGAAGTTCCTGAAACCACCCCGCGCACGTCGAGATCAGTGATTCAAGTTCGTGGCCCTAAACCGAAGTCGTCAGCTCGAAGCCAAACACAAGCGCGACTCTGCTTAGGCCAATCACTGCTAATCCACAGTAACCAAGGAGCAACCGCAGACTGCGGGAGTGCTTTTCGCTTCAGGCGTGCTTCAATAGAAACGAATGACGTGACCTCGGGATTAGGTCATAAGTGCTCTTGGCTTCAAGGCTGATCAGCTAGTGGTAACCAAAGCGAAATTGCGAACGTATTCGCAACCAACCATATATGAAAGCGCAAATTGCAAGCAGGAACTGCAGCGCTACAATAGTACAGTACTACTGCTACATCATTGCAGCTTTAGTAAACTCCGTCATAGTGTAGAAAACGCACTTCATTAAGAATGAATGTCGCATCACATCCAAAGACGCATTGTTACATGATTTGTTATGAAGGCAACACAATCGGGACACTATGGTTGCATGATGCATGGATGACACGGCTTATGAAGAGGAGGCTGCCTGAAAGCGTATGCAAGGAATTCATGGCCGTTTGAATGTTGCAATCGACGGTCATGTGTCAGATGGTGATCTTGATCTGGGAAGGTTGTTGGTGGTGGACTGGCGCCCTTGGGCTTGCTGGGTTGACGACAGTCCAATGAGGCTGATAGCTGAGCCAAGCTTCGCAAGGCAACAGAGTTCCAAACCTGCATGCAAACAGAGGAGAGAGACAAATGCATGGCTTCAAGAAATACGGGAAATAAATAAATAAATAAATAAAACCAAAACGCAAACGGCGAACAAAACAAACAAACAAAACAACACATCCGAACCCCTACAAGTCGGTCTACTACACGCATGTATGCGCCTCCTGACTCACTTCAGAATTCGACTTGAATCTCCCATTCGCCAGCATCACAGCCCTACTCTGCTGCCTTCGCTGCCCCCTCCTCCCCTCCCTCCTTCCCCACCACCACCACCACTACCTCCTCACTTCCCCCCTCCCCATCCTCCACCGAATCCTCCACCTTCCTCACTTCCACGCCCTCCTTCACCCCTCCTTCCCCTGCTGCCTCCACCACAGCAGCAGCCTCTTGCACCAAAGCCACCTCCCCAGCAGCAGCACTTGCTTCAGCCGCCGCCGCCGCAGCTTCAGCCTTCATCCCAGCTTCAGCCTGCAACACCACCCCATAGTACCCCTCATTCCCCTCCATGCAAGTTTTAAGCGCCTCAGTGGGACCCACACACCGGTCCACAATACTCTCCCCAGCCTTTTCTGCTGCCTCCACACACCCCTCCCACGCTATAAACTCCTCCCTGCACGGCCCGCCTTTCATAAACTGGCAAAACGGACAGTCATCTGTGCTATCCTCTCCCTGCCCTACCTTCTCCTTTCCCTCTCCCTCCCCAGCCTTCTCCTTCACCTCTTCAGCCAAAGTCTCCCCCAACGCACTAACCGCTTCACCCACCTCCCTTCCTGCTTCCTCCACCTTCTCCCCTGCCTTCGCCACCTCGCTCACCACCGCTGCCACCACCGCTTCCGCCTTCTCCTCCGCTTCTCTCGTCAACTCCGCCCCCTTCACCTCTAACTCCTCCACATACCTTGACAGCACGTCAACAGCATCCGCAAGAGGAGGTCTCTCCAGAATCTCCTTTGCTTTCTCCTCTGCCTTTGCTTCCACATCCTTTGCTTTCTCCTCTGCCTTTGCTTCTAGTTCAGCTACATAGCCTGCTACAGCATCCACAGCGTCAGCTAGAGGGGGGCTTTTGAGAATCTCCTCTGCTTTCTCCTCTGCCTTTGCTTCCACACCCTTCGCTTCCTCTTCTGCCTTTGTTTCCAGGCCCTTTACTTCCTCTTCTGCCTTTGCTTCTAGCTCTGCTAGATGGGCAGCTAAAGCATCCACAGCGTCAGCTAGCGGGGAGCTCTCCCCCTCGTCCACGACAACTGTTCCAATAACCTCCTCGGGACCTGCGTCTGCCGAGCCTGCGTCCGCCGAACCTGGAGATGATTCAGCTTCGGCAGGTTCAGGTGCGGCAGCATCACTTGCTGGTGCGGTGGTTGGTTCGGAAGAAGACGAATCTGTGAATGAGGCTTCTGGCGAAACTGATGCTTGTGCTGCTGGTGGTGCATCTGATGGTGATGGTGATGGTGATGGTGATGGTGATGGTGGTGGTGATGGTGCAGGGTGGTGGGACTTTGCTGCTGCGGAGGAACGGCGGTCTGATGGAGGGACGAAGAAGGAGAGAGAGAGCCACACAGGGAAGTAAAAAAGACTGACCGACTCACTGACTGACCAGTTCACTTACGGACTGACTGACTGAAAGACAGTTGGTTGACAGAATCCAGCGCGGCACAATGACGCATTGCCTATCAAACGAGAAAAGAGCCGTCGCACCTGAGAGAATGCGCTCCCCAACGAGCCCAGCCAACGCGAGACCCGCGGTCAGCAGCACGAAATCCCGGCCTTCCGTCGTTCCGAACCTCTTCTGAAGCGACTCGGCAAACGAGGGAATCTCCGCTCCCGCCTTAGCTGCCACTTTGGCTGCTCCTGACGAAACACCTGATGAAACACCAGAAGCTCCTGCTGCTGCAGTAGACGCGGAAGTCGTCGACGCGAATCTGGCATTCTGGCAGCTGATTGGCGCATCGCGAAAGGCGGGAGCAGCGTCGCGAACGGAGCGCGAAAGAGAGTCGAGGGTTCGAGTGGCTGCGGAGTCGAGTCTGGCGCGAATCTCGCTTCTTCTCCGGATGTGCCGCGCAGAGGCGGACGACAGAAAGCGGAACATGGGCGGAGAGCGCGTCAGGCGGAGAGTATGTGGCGTGGAGAGTGTGCAGGGCGGAGAGTGCGAGAGATCCAAATATGCGAACGAAATAGGTAACCCTGTGCGATCTGTTATTTTGACGGAGGAAAGGTTCGAACGTCCTCAACTCGCAGAAAGAAAACGGATCAGAAAAGGGCAACCGCGGGTGGAGCCGCAGCTGAAGCAAGATCCGTAGCGATGGAGGCCGGCTGGTGTCTCGTGCTAAGCTTGCCTGAAGCAGGTGGGAATGCACATGGGGGTGTAAGAGAGAGCAGAAACGAGGTGACTTTTGAGTCGACTCAAAAGTCACTTGCCTGAAGCAGATGGGAATGCACATGGGGGTGTAAGAGAGCAGAAACGCGATGAATGACCACACTTACAACGAAGCTGGGAGTTAAGGAATAAAGCTAGGAAGCGAATGAAGCTGCAGGTTGTAATACTGTGTTCTTATAACGGTTTACGTATCAGCCGAGCAATACGATCTCAGTGGGATAACGGTTTTCTGTGTGTTTTCGTTCTGTTTTCTCTGTGGTTTAGTGGGCTGTGGGTTTATTGTGAGCCTAGATCGTAAGCTGAATCAACCGATCAGATACCCGTCGACAGGCGGAGAAAGGGTAGCACGGATAAGGTTAGATCCACCTTACTTCACAAGTAAACTAGTTTCGCATACGATTACGGACCCCCGATGTAACTAGTCCGGGGTCAACTTAGATAATTACGGATCCGACAATGCAATAAGATACTGCGTGGGTTGGATCATCGTCCGAATCTCGAATCCTGAAATGGGCTCTTAAGTAGACTATAAGGAGGCGGAACAAGATCGCAGGAAAATAGCCAGAGAGGAGACGAATGACTTGTATTGCTGAAAGGCAGGATCGGATACAAAGAATGGCTTCAGGAGCAGACGGATAAAAAGCGATCTGTAAAAAGCATCGCCTACGTTCTTTCTCACCTTGGAAACGAGTAAGGCACGCTACACGGAAATCAGCTCGGATCTGCCCTCCACGAATAAGCGGCTCGAACAAACAGCCAGCTGAAAAGCTAGTCGCACGAGCTTCAGAAGCAACACCCGCAAAACTCACACCCTACACCCTCTCTCAAGAACCTACTGGAAGAGCTACGAACACTTCACAGCTAAAATAGCTACTTGGCTTCTAGCTGGTGGTGGTGGTCTAAAATCCATGGCTGCGACCAACCATTCCCTGGCATGGAGCGATGGTTGTACTGGCAAGCATGAAAAAATATTTCCTAGTTACCTGGGTTTTCCTAAACGCTTACAGGAATTCTGGGCACACGAGACAGCCACGAACGTCGCATTTCTCCCGGAGGTGGGTGCGGGATGTGATCAGATAAGTTCGAGAACCCCCAACTTTGAAGGTACAAATATTTTTAAACATTCCGTTAAGGCCGCAGTCAAAAAAACATCATCTTGAACTTTCGGCGTTCCGAAGATCTTGGGGGACTGGCGATTCGCAGAATGTTGTTTCCCCAAGGTGTACATGCAGGTTCCAATATAGATAGATAGAAGCAAGTATTCTCAATTATCTTGAAGGAAATGCAACACAAAGCCCACTGAAAGCCCAAGCTCTTCTAAAACTAAAAACGTATGGCCCTTTCTTCTGCAAGAGAGACTTGCTAGTAGTCTCCACCCTGGAGTGCTACATTACTATCCATACACCAAAACAGCCGTAAGGCTGAAACCAAGTTGTACATCCAATATCCATTTTTACAACAAACTCCAAGCACGCATGCATGCTGCTTACTCTCATAATACACCCCCATTTGTAGCGTGCTCCTTAACCAGCAGGGGCACCGCCGGCGCCACACACACTCTTTCCCGCTGCTGCCTTTTGAGCAATTGGCTTCAGCCGAATCATGATATCGTCAAACTTAGGACGGTCCTTGGGGTCACTGGGACGCAAACAGCGGGTGGAGAGGGGAGAGGGGGTGGCACGAGGTTGAGTCAACCTAAAAGTCCTCCTTTTGAGCAATTGGCTTCAACCGCACCATGGTATCATCAAACTTGGGCTTGTCCTTGGGGTCACTCACTGGGGAGGGTGGAGAAAGTGACATGGGGTGACATCTGAGTCGACTCATATCTTCCTGTAAGCAATTCAGCGCGGTAATAACATGGTCAAACCTGTGATGATCCATACAGTCACTGGAAAGCAGAAACGCGCAAGGTGGGAAACCGGCTGGAAGAGTGGAAGCAGCAGTCCGATTTGAAATGGATGGAAAACAAAGAGAGGAACTCACTTGTGCCAGCAGTGGAGGATGAGTGAGGAGAGAGCCGGGTCGAGGTCAGGCGGGACGGTGACGGACGGCGAGGGACGGCGAGGGACGGTGAGGGACGGTGAGGGATGGTGAGGGACGGCGAGAGCACAAAGAGAGGAACTTACTTGTGCCAGCAGTCGAGGATGAGTGAGGAGAGAGCCGGGTCGAGGTCAGGCGGGACGGTGAGGCGCTGGTTCTGGAATCCCACTGCTCCCACCACCTGGGGTGGAGGAGAGGGGGAAAGAGGGGAGAGAGGGGAGAGAGGGGAGATGAGTGAGAGAAAGTTGGGACAGAATGAAATATCTGCATAACTGCATGGGGTTAGGACAAATAGGCATAAAGTCCCCACGTACCTGCATGGGGTTCATGCCGTCCCATGGCTGCAGCAGCGTGACCAGCTCCCACAGAATCACTCCAAAGCTGTACACATCCGACTTCTCATTGGACGGTTCGTTACGCAGCACTTCAGGTGCCATCCACTCGGGCTGGGAAGGGACGAAGAGGCACGGACATAAACAGCACAGGGAGAATGAGAAACATTGACAGAGGGAGAGAGCACCAGCTCCCACAGAATCACTCAGAAGCTGTACACATCTGACTTCTCGTTGGACGGTTCGTTACGCAACACCTCAGGTGCCATCCACTCGGGCTGAAGGGGGAATGGGAGGAGAGGCAGGCAGAGAAAGGGAGAGGCATTGGCAGAGAGAGCGAACGCCAGCTTCCATTGGATCACTCCAAAGCTGTACATGTCTGACATCTCAGGAGCACTTCAGGCGCGACAGAGGGAGTGAGCATCAGCTTCCACGGGATCACTCCACAGCTGTACATGTCTGACTTCTCGTTAGACGGTTTGTTGCGGAGCACCTCAGGGGCCATCCACTCGGGCTGAGAGGGAGGAGGGTGAAGGGAGAAGGAGGTGGATTGTTGCACAGGCAGCAACGAGCGAGGCAAACAAAACAGGGAAGGGAGGCCTCCAGACTAGAAGCCGCCTGAGGACTGCTGCACGCCGCACCCTGCCTGCAGGCGTAACAACATGCAGCATGACTCTTAATCACCACTGCAGGACGTGCCACCCCGCCACCATCCACACCCACATGCATACCATGCGCACCTGCGTGTATGCACACCTGCGTGTATGCACACCTGCGTGTATGCACACCTGCGTGTATGCACACCTGCGTGTATGCACACCTGCGTGTATGCACACCTGCGTGTATGCCTCACCGTGCCTGCACCCGACTTGGACGAGAGGAAGGTGCTGTTCTTGTTGCGAGACAGGCCAAAATCGCAGACCTGTCAAGGGAGCAAAGCAACCAAAACGCTTTGCATGTCAAGATGCGCAGACAGGATGCATCCACTTATAGATTGCTTCGCAGTGGGCGAGGCAGGAGATTAAAACGAAAGGCGAGAAGCTCAACTCAAACAACAATTTCTATCTATTAGACAAAACTAAACGCGCAGGCCACTCACCTTAACAGTGAAATTCTTGTCCACTAGCAAATTAGGCGTCTTGAGATCACGATGCACGATCATGGGCGTGCAATGGTGCAAGTAGTTGATGCCTCGCGCCTGGTACGTGTGTGGGGGGGGAGGTAGGGTGGAGTGTTTCCAGTGTTTAGGAGCATCAAGCATCACAATCATGGGCGTGCAGTGGTGCAATAGTTGACGCCTCGCGCCTGGTTTGGTGGGGGTAGGGTGGGAGGGAAGAGGGGGAAGGTTGTTTTACGCAAGTTATGGACTGAGATGAGTGAGTGGGTTAGCCGCATCAAGCATCACAATCATGAGCGTGCAGTGGTGCAGTAGGTAGTTGATACCCGCGCCTGGTGTGAGTGTGGGAGGGTGGGAGGAGGGGGGCGGGGGGGGGGGGGGGGGGGGTTTGAGGGTTGAAGAGGAACGGACGGGCCAATAGAGAATAAGCAGGTTCGGTGGAGGTCTTGAGACCACGATGCACGATCATGTGTAGTGATGGGGGTTGGGAGGGAGAGGGGGGGGTGAGGGGGAAGAAGGGTGGAGGGTGGGGAAGGGGCGAGGCGTGGGTCAATCGAAAAGAGGGAGGGAGGGGCTTCTGAGTCGACCCAAAGGGCATGAATGAACGATATTCAGCCCACCTTCTTGCCCACTATCAGGTTGGATCATGGTTGTGCAGTGGTGAATTTTGCCCCCCCCCCCATCCCCACCCCCTCTTCCCCACCCCCTCCCTGATAAAACTCAAAGTGCAAGCCCATACCCTCCCCCTCTCCCCTTCCCAACCCCCCTCGCATCTCTCCCCTCTCCCCCACCCACAATATCTACGGCCCATGCGGATGCACCTGATCCTCTCACCTCCCCCCCATACCCTCCCCCCTCAACCCACAATATCCATGGCCATGCGAATGCGCCGGCCCTCCTTTAAGGCCTCCTTTGCCCCCGATACTACCCAGTCCACCCACAGTGCAATCCCACGCGTGCAAGCCCACAACCTTCCCCACCCTCCGCTCGCCTCCCCAACCCAAACACCCACAATATCCATGGCCATGCGAATGCGCCGGTCCTCCTTTAAGGTCTCCTTTGCCCCCGGCCGATGAAGCAGACGGAACAGACTTCCCCTGGGAAGGGAGAGGGAAGAGTGGCGTGAGGAGATGGGCGGGGGGGGAAAAGGGGGCGGCGTAAAGGGCATTGGAATGTTTTAGGACGTCTCAAAACACTCCTTCATACACGGTATACCTGTGCAACGAGACGAGTTACTCGCTCGGGCTCGCCCGAGTTACTCGTTTGGGTGCGAGTAACGACTTTCGTTTTTTGTAAAATTTACTCGTCCGAGTCGAGCCGAGTTTTACTTGCCGAGTTTTTTTTGCTCGACGAGTACTTGGGTGCTTTTAGCTGAGCATTTATGGTACTCTTTGAGTTTTTAAGCTAGACGAGTACCAAAAAACTCGTCGAGTTACCCTAACAGATAACATTGTGGTGTGGTTGGGTTGGAATTTTCCTCCCGCCATTTTAGCCAACCAGTTTTCAGATCTGATGATGGGTTGCATTTTAGCCAACCACTTTTCAGATCTGATGAGTTGCATTTTAGCCAACGCACCCACCCTTCAGTACTCCCTCCCATCCCTACGCCAGAGCGCCCGCTTATTTCTGAGCATGCAACAATGTCGTGTCACCTACTATTTAAAGGGACGACCTCGTCTCGTCCGCATCTGTAGGACAATGACGTAGGGTCATTGTCGCGATCTACCGTCAAACTTACCTAGACGTCGTGATTCATGCTGTTCTAGGGTAAACATTACCTAGCAAGATTCCGATTAGAAGGTGGACATTATCTTGATAGATAGGATGGCGCGCGCGAAGCAGTGCGACTCTAAGGTCAACAAAGCGCCTGCTGCGGCAGGTCACGGTCACGGTCGTGGTGTTGATCGTGGTAAAGCTTTAGTTAATGGTGGCGTTCAGCAGATCGGGATGACAACTGAAGAGCTGAGTCAACTGAAAGCGGCCTCAGCGGAGTATGACCATGAGAAACTTTTAGAGGCGGTTGGAGGAGGCAAGAAGGTGGACCAACGTCATGGCGAGGGAAGTTCTGGGGTAAATCGTGGCACTCCTCGTGAAGATGATGTGGACGACGGTGTTGAGGGAGAAAATCTCGAACAGCACCGTGGTGAAGTAGGGGACGATGGCGATGGTGACGGTGTGGACGGTACCGCCGGTCCAACCAGTGCAGATGGCGGCACTGCTGCTCGCGCTGATGGTGACGAGGATGAGACGGATGAGGAGGAGGTGGCGGCTGACGAAGAGGAGGACGAGGAAGAGGAGGGGGATGCTGACGAGGACATGGAGGGGGAGGAGAGTGAGGAGGGGAGCGGTGACGACTCCGAGGAGGTGTACACCGGTGACGGAGAGGAGGCTGAGACGACAACGCTGAGGACTACGTCGACTTGGAAGAGGAAGGGATGGAGGATACAGAGGGAGATGGGGGGGGGGAGAGCTAAAAAGAGGAAGCGGGGTGCCAAGGATGCCAAGCGCCTCCAGGCCCTCACCATCTCATCGGAGATGTGGTTGGCTATGGAAGAGCTTGCGGCCTTCCTTAAGCCATTCCATGCCGTGAGCTTAGCCGCTGAGGGTTCGAAATACCCCACGATCTCCAGGGTTGTCCCACAGTTCAATGAGCTGTTGGACGGCCTTGACAGGGTCAAAAACAATGTGTCCTCCCCCCCATCAAGGGTCATGAAGGACTGCATCAATGCTGCTGAGGGGGAGCTGATGGAGTACTACTCAGGCAGCAGTGATGAGCTTTGGGTTGCCACATTTCTTGACCCAAGCTTCAAGACCGGGTACTTCGAGATGGATGGAGAGGGGGGAGTGCAGGAGAGTGAGACGCCGAGGGGGGGGGGGGGGTACAGCATGTTGCAGCGGAAAGGGTGCTCGCCTTGGTAGGGGCGAAGTTGGGACCGTACAAGGCGAAGGCGCTGGCGGCCCGGGAGAAGCGGGAGAGGGCAGAGGGGGCTGGTCGTGGTGCACTCGGAAGGGGAGGGGGGGATTTATCAGGAGGGAGCTCCTCTAGCCGTGTGGGAGGAGCTGGCAAAAAGGGGGGTGCTGCAGGCGGCCGCCTGCCCAGCACTCGATGCATTTGGTGGCGCAGACGGGGATAGGCGGAGCTTGAGGGCAAGATTGGAGGAGTACCGTAGCCGTCAGGAACAGTCCATCAGGGACGAGGTGCAGATTTACATCGACGAGCGATTGGAGCCTTTGGGGATCTGTCCCCTTTCATATTGGCGCCGCAGGAATGACCTTGAGGGGTTGCAGGCTATGGCCCTCGACTACCTCGCCATACCAGCGACGTCGGCTGCGAGTGAGCACAACTTTTCGCGTGGCCGCAATCTGATCACGTGGCAAAGGCATAGCCTGGGACCCGAGCGTGTATGATTCTCAAGTCCTGGGTGGACTTGAACACACGGTGCCCGTTGGAGAAGGCGGCAAAGAAACTGCTAGAGTTGGCAGAGGCGGATGCCGTAGGGGTGGAGATGGATGAAGAACAGCCGAAGTGATGGTGTGGGGTAGACTGGTTTGTTGTATGAGATGTGGGGTGGGACATGGGCTGGCTGGTGTGTGTGGGAGGAAACCTAGCAGGGCAATATTTATCGCTTCAGATCATTTCATGCGTACGCTCTCCAGGGCGCAAGACCTGGCCTAAACCCTTAAATTATTGTGTGTGCAGTTATAATAGTTGTTGACTGCCAAGATTCCTTAGGTTGTGATAACACCCATGCGTTGTGCTGGTGGCCTGCCTGCGAGGCCTATCCAGGTCTAAACAAGCTTCCACGGGCTTACCGCGGCAACCGAAGGCTACCCTAGGCTACCCAGGGCAACCCAGGGCTTTCCTGGGCTTTCCTAGGCTTCCTGAGACCACCTTGGGTTTACCTGGGCGGCCCTGGAAACCCCAATACTTCCGTGGTACCAATGGCCTTCAATAGTTATTCCGTACATAGTCGTTCTATGCAGGAGTTGGGCACATGGCCGAACATTACTCGTACTCGGACGAGCTTTTCTAAATGCTCGCCCGAGTTCCCTTTTATAAGACGAGTAACGAGTTTCTGTTAGGGGGAAAAGTGCTCGGCCAAGTATTACTCGACTCGGCTCGTACTCGGTCGACCATTACTCGGCTCGCCCTTTTGCACAGGTATAATACACGGGGGGGGAGAAGGGGGCGGCGTAAAGGGCATTGGAATGTTTTCGGACGTCTCAAAACACTCTTTCATACACGGGGGGGGAGAAGGGGGCGGCGTAAAGGGCATTGGAATGTTTTCGGACGTCTCATAACACTCTTTCATACACGGGGGGGAGAAGGGGGCGGCGTAAAGGGCATTGGAATGTTTTTGGACGTCTCAAAACACTCCTTCATACACGGGGGGGAGAAGGGGGCGGCGTAAAGGGCATTGGAATGTTTTCTTTTCCCCGGCCGATGCAGCGGACGGGGACGCGAGAAGCAGAGGTACACAGAACTAATAGGAGAATGGGAGGGATTTGAAACGAGGAAAAGGGACAAGGCGTCAACTTGATGCGAGAAGGAGAGTAAAGGAAAGGGATGGGGAGGGGGGGATAGTGACCACCCACCCACCCTATGGTGTGGGAGGAAGACTCATACCTGCTAAGGAACTCTGTGAGGATGGAGAGGTGCGGAGGCTTGGTAACTGCTCCCATGAAGAGCACAATGTTGGGATGGCGCAGTCGACGCATGATAACCACCTGCGAGGAGAGAGGGGATGGCAAAACGGGAGAGGAGGGGAGAGAAGGGGAGAGAAGGGGAGAGGCAAAGAGGCGCATGGGAAGGAGGTGGAGCTGCGGCGGCTTGGTAACTGCTCCCATGGAGAGCACTATGTTGGGGTGGCGAGAACGACGCATGATGAGGCTCATTACAGTCACAGGAACACAACCCGCTCGTTACAGCCATGCGTATACCTCTCGTTTGAACACCTTCCTCTTTCTTGACCTCCAGATGCCCCTCCCTCCTTCCTGCATGGCTTATGAGTCGAATTGAAGCCTATGGGCCTCTGGTTATACCACTCGCTTCTGTCACTCATTGAAGATCAGTGATGCATACCGTAGGGATGAGCAAGGGGCGAACACGAACGTGTTCGCGTTCGCCCATGCACGAACACCCCTGTTCGGCGAACCGAACACTGTTCGGTTCGGCGAACACCTTAAGCAAAAACAGGTGTTCGCCGTTCGCCTATGAAGGCGTGTTCGGGCGAACCTCGAACACTGTTCGTGTTCGTTGCGGGCAAATTGCAGCAGCGGCCCGAACACGAACGTGTTCGGGCGAACCTCGAACACTGTTCGGCGAACGATTTAAGCCAAAAAAATTAACCTGTTCAGTTCGCCTCGAACACGTTCGAGGCGAACCGAACAGGTGTTCGTTTTTTTGCTCATCCCTATGCATACCTCTCGCTTGAATTTCAGCAGCTGCTCCTCCTGCATGTCCTGGTTGATGAGCACCTTTGACATCAGCATGCACCTCGTTACAGTCATGCATGCACATTGAATACCTTTTGCATCTCTTGCTCGATCGTACCTCTCGCTTGAACTCCAGCAGCTGCTCCTCCTCCATGTTCTGATTGATCAGCACCTTCACTGCCCGCATGCACCCCTCTTACAGTAACATCCAAGGCCATACCTCTCTCTTGCTCATTCGCCGTACCTCTCGCTTGAACTCCAGCAGCTGCTCCTCCTGCATGTCCTGGTCAATGAGCACCTTCACTGCCACGTCCTGCAACCCCCGTTACAGTCACATGCAGGGGAGTGACAGTCCCTAAAGGCACATCCCCTTGCTCATGCGTACCTCTCGTTTGAACTCCAGCAGCTGCTCCTCCTGCATGTCCTGGTTGATCAGCACCTTCACTGCCACATCCTGTGGGCGCATGGCAAAAGAGCGAGAAGCAGGCAGGACCGGGCAGGTTTGGTTGCAATGTGAGGGGGTCGCACGCATGAATAGAGTCGGCCTTAAATGTGCATGACCATGACGGGTTTGAGTCCACAATAAGAAAAAATAGGCCCGATAGAGATGAGAATCTATGCATTTGAAAGGGGAACGTCAACAAGAAGAGGAGAAGATGAAGAGGGGAAGAGTGGAAGAGGCGAGGAAGGAAGGAGGTGAGGTGAAGAGAGGAGGGGAGGGACGGGAGGAGACTCACGCAGCCAGCCCATTCGGCGCGATACACCGTGCCAAAGGAGCCTGCAGGGAAGCAAAGCATGGAGGACCACGGGAGGAATAGGGGGAAAGGCAGCCGTGAGTGGGGGGTGGTAGACATGGGCACTGAGTTGAGTTTTTGAACTCGATTCGATCGGGGGACTCGAAACGCGACGAGTGTCGAGTCCGTGAATCCCCTGAAAAAACTCGACCGAGTCCAGTCGAGTTTTACCCGTCGAGCTTTAAAAAAACTCAGTAAAAGCTCGGCCCCACATCGAGTTTTTTGCAGACTCGACGAGCTTTAAAGACTCGAGCGAGTTTACAAAAAACTCGTCGCGAATTTGGCACGCAGCAAGTACAATTCGTAAAAAATTCACTTTGGCGGGGTTCTTTTTAGATCGCGATTTCAGTTAGTCCTCTTCCTATGCCTATCGTAAGTGGAAACCTGAGCCTATACAGCCAAACTCATGGCTGGTTTTTCATTTTAAACTTAAGTTCGGTTTAGGGAATCCTAGATCTAGGTTTATAGTAAGCTAATGTGGCGTTTTTCACACGTGCATTTTTTAGATTAGGTTTCCTGAGGCGAAAACGACCTATTTAACGGTCGATCTGGTTTATTTATGATGGCGATATTTGAGCAAGGTTTGACTAACAACCCAAACGGCGGGAAAGGTGGAACGGCAGGAACTCATCGTGGCGATCATGCGGGAGTGGAGGGGGGGGGAGGCCAAGTTGTGATAGGCACGCAGCGCTGCAGGCTTCATGTTATTACAAAAATGCGCCCAAACCCCAACTTATGTATGGTGTGTCCCCCGCCCCTCCCCCTCCCCCCCCCCCCCCCCCCCGAGTCCAGTTTTACTCGGCTCGACCGAGTGTAAGGTAAAAGCCCGTCGAGTTTTTTAAAACTCGACCCCTATTTAGTCGAGTCTCGAGTCCAACACCCTGGAAAAAAAACTCCCCGACTCGAGCTCGAACTCGGTCGAGTCTTCACCAGACCGAGTCGAGTTTTACTCGACTCGGTCTGATGCACATGTCTAGGGGGTGGGGAAGGGGGAAGGGGTGGAGGGGGGGGGGGGGGGAGAGTTCAGTAGTGCGTGGTTCGACTGAAGGCCGGTGTAGGGTGATTCAAAATCAAAAGGGCGGCTTTGTATCACATCCATCCGACACCTCTCCACCGCACTGCACCGCACACCACCTCCCTCAAACCCCCCTCACCTGCGCCCACCCTCTCCCCCATCTCGATGTCGTTCCAATCGATCTCCGCCTCCCCAATGTCCATGATGCGCCCATCCATCAACACATCCATCCCACACCTCTCAACCGCACTGCACCGCACACCACCTCCCTCAAACCCCTCTCACCTGCGCCCACCCTCTCCCCCATCTCGATGTCGTTCCAGTCAATCTCCGCCTCCCCAATGTCCATGATGCGCCCATCCATCAACACATCCATAAACTCAACACCCGCGTCCGTCGCCTCGTCGTCCGCCGCCGGTGCTGCCTCTTGCTTGGGGGCTTCTGCCTTGGCCTTGGGCTGGGAGGGGAGAAGGGGAACGCAAGCAGGACACAAAAGGTCAAAAACTCAGCTTGAGTGGCTTGCTGCTGGGGTGGCGAGGACCTGAAGTGGACAAGGCAACCCCCCCCAATGTCCATGATGTGCCCATACATCAGCACATCCATGAACCTCCACCCCCGCATCCGTTGCCTCGTCGTCCGCTGCTGCTGGTGCTGGTGCTGGTGGTGCTGGTGCTTCCTGCTTGGGGCCTCAACCTTGGCTTTCGGCTGGGGTAAAGGGGGTTTGGGTGGAAGGGCAGAGGCAGCGGAGGGAGGTGAGGGTGAGGGAGGGGACGAGGCAGGACACAAGGAGGGGTCATGAGGTCAGCAGTCTCATCCCAAGCCCTGAGGTCCAAAATGCACTCACCTTCTTCTTCCCCTCGTCCTCCTCCCCGCCGCCGCCCTTCTTCCCGCCCTTCTTCTGCGGCTTCTTCTCCTCCTCCTCCTCGCTATCCTCCTCCTCCTCCACCTCTTTGAGCTCCTTTCGCCGTCTCTCCCCCTTGGGCGAGGCAGCCACATGCCTGGGGTCCTTAGGCCCTCCCGCGTAGATTCGCCGTGACCCCACCATGGCTTCAGCATCCTGCTCCTGTTGCTGCCTGTGAGGGAGAAAGAGGGAATGGAGGAATGAGAGGGGAGTGAGGGTCCTTGGGGCCTCCCGCATAGATGCGCCTCGATCCCACCAGCGCCTCTGCATCCTGCTCCTGCTGCTGCCTGTGATGGGGGAAGAGGGAAGGTTGGAGGGAAGTCAAGAGTCCTCCTCCTCCACCTCTTTAAGCTCCTTCCACCGCCTCTCCCCCTTGGGCGAGGCAGCCACGTGCCTGGGGTCCTTGGGCCCTCCCGCATAGATGCGCCTCAATCCCACCATGGCTTCAGCATCCTGCTCCTGTTGCTGCCTGGGGATTGGGAAAGGACAGAGAGAAAGGGATAGAGAGGGGGCCGGGAGGGTTGGATGACAAGAGAGGGGTAAGGGTCCTTGGGTCCTCCCGCGTAGATTCGCCGTGATCCCACCATGGCTTCAGCATCCTGCTCCTGTTGCTGCCCGGGGATTGGGGAAAGAGGGGGAGAGAACAAGACGGGTAGAAGGGGGAAGGTACAGAGAGGGGAGGTTGGAGGAAAGAAAAGGGTCCTCACTCCTCCTCTTCCACCTCTTTAAGCTCCTTCCGCCTTCTCTCCCCCTTGGGCGAGGCCGCCACGTGCCTGGGGTCCTTGGGCCCTCCCACGTAGATTCGCCTCGATCCCACCAGCGCCTCTGCATCCTGCTCCTGCTGCTGCCTGAAAATCGATAAGGGTGTGAGACGGCGGGAGACAGAACATAGAGAGAATAAGAATGAAGGATTTGAGAGCATTTGCTTCAATTCCTTGGGCCCTCCCGCATAGATACGCCTTGGTCCCACCATCGCCTCTGCGTCCTGCTCCTGCTGCTCCCTGGGGATTGAGGAAAGAGGGGGAGAGGAAACTTGGGACCATGAGCCGGACGAAATCGACTGTTTAATAGAAGCAGAATGGATAAACCTAACGCGTCCGTTCCCTTAATATCAGGAGCAGCAAAGGCCTAACCTCTGCCAGATGTTACCTTCTGAAGTCTGGCACCCATTGCGGCACCGTGCCGTCCGCAGGATCTGTGAGCGCGAGAGATTTGATCTCCGGGCAGCGCAGGGGCGAGGCGATGTAGGTGGCGTTGGTGGCGGTGCTGGTGGCGGACTCAGCCGAGGGCTCGATTGTGAGCAACGTGCCTGGGCGCTGCAGCAGATCCACCACGTACTCCCTGTGGAGGAAAGGGTAGGGTAGGTAGGGGCAGAAGGGATTGAAAAACACGGGAGTGAGTGAACAACGGTAAGGAAAACGCTGCTGCTGGTGCCGGATTTAGCAGCGGAGGGGCCATCCAATATAGGTGGCGTTGGTGGTGGTGCTGGTGGCGGACTCAGCTAAGGGCTTGATGGTGAGAAGGGTACCTGGCCTCTGCAGCAGGTCCACCACGTACTCCCTGTGTTTGGGGGGGCGCAGAGGGGAAGAAAGTAGAGGGATGGTATGTTATGTTGCTGGTGGCGGACTCAGCCGAGGGCTTGATGGTGAGCAGCGTGCCTGGCCTCTGCAGCAGGTCCACCACGTACTCCCTGTGTTTGGAAGACAAAGGGAAAACACGGGAGCGTTGAATCGGTCGGGTCGGCAGACGACAATAGTAAGTAAGCGGTGATTGCGTTGGTGGCGGTGCTGCTGGTGGCAGGTTCCGCAGAGGGCTCGATAGAGAGAAGGATGCGTGGCCTGTGAAGCAAGCCAACCACATAATCCCTGTGTGTGGGAGGGGGAAGGGGGGTCGAAGGAGGGAGGAGCGCGCAGCGCACAAGGCAGCACGAGGCACGGGGCTCCATTGTGCATGCCACACACAGAGGCAGCATGAGGCACGGGGCTCCATTGTGCATGCCACACACAGAGGCAGCATGAGGCACGGGGCTCCATTGTGCATGTCCATTGTGAATTGCAGCTCTTTTTTTTATGTGACACACAGAGCTTGCCGATTAGCCTAGGGCGAAATCCAAACTCACCTCTCGTCACTGGCGAGCACAACAAGGTATGATGCTCCGTCGTCCATACCACAGAAATTGCACCCCTTCTGGATAACACACACACCACATGCATGCCCATTGACCCACAGGCAAGCTCCTCATCTGAACCCACAACCCAACACCCTTGGCTCACCTCTCGTCGCTGGCAAGCACAAGGCACGAGGCACCATCATCCATTCCACAGAACACAACTCCCCACCCCAGCACCTAGAGGTACCGCAGTGCACCTGCCAGACTCCATTGACTCACCTCTCGTCGCTGGCAAGCACAAGACACGATGCTCCATCGTCCATGCCACAGAACACAACTCCCCACCCCAGCACCTAGAGGTACCGCAGTGCACCTGCCAGACTCCATTGACTCACCTCTCGTCGCTGGCAAGCACAAGGCACGAGGCACCATCATCCATGCCACAGAACACAACTCCCCACCCCAGCACCTAGAGGTACCGCAGTGCACCTGCCAGACTCCATTGACTCACCTCTCGTCGCTGGCAAGCACAAGACACGATGCTCCATCGTCCATGCCACAGAACACAACTCCCCACCCCAGCACCTAGAGGTACCGCAGTGCACCTGCCAGACTCCATTGACTCACCTCTCGT